AACTTGATGTGAAATCTGCTTTTCTGAATGGACCAGTATAAGAAAAGGTCTATGTCAAGCAACCACCTGGATTTGTGGTGAGGGGCAATGAGGACAAAGTCTATAGGCTGAAGAATGCTCTATATGGGCTAAGACAAGTTCCAAAAGCTTGGAACAAAAGAGTTGATGCATTCTTTAGCAGAACAAGTTTCAGAAAATGTAATGTGGAGCATATTGTGTATGTGAAGGCACTTAGCAACAACATTCTCATTAGCAACAACATTCTTATCAAATGTTTATATGTTGATGACCTCTTGATCACAAGCAGCAACTCGGATGGAGTTGAAAGTGTAAAACAGAGCCTGAAAGCAAAATTTGAAATGTCTGACTTGGGCACACTCTCATATTTGCTTAGCATTGAGTTTAGACAGATAGATGAAGGCTTGTTCATGCATCAAAGGAAGTATATACGAGATGTGTTAAAGAAGTTCAACATGGTTAATTGTAATTATGCAGAAACACCTTCAAAACCATGCTTGAAGCTGGACGATGATGATCATGAGCCTGATGTTGATGGCACACTGTTCAGACAAATTGTTGGTTGTTTGAGATACATTTGTCATACAAGACCTGAGATTTCATTCAGTGTTGGCTTGGTGAGTAGATTTATGAGATATCCTAAGAGATCACATCTTGTAGTAGCCAAGAGAATCTTGAGATACTTGAGTGGCACATTGGATTTTGGAGTGTTACTAAGATAGAAGAAAGGCTGCAACTCATGCTTCATGGATCCCCCATCTCTTGGTGTTCTAAGAAGCAAGAGATTGTGGCATTATCTACTTGTGAGGCTAAGCATGTCTCTGCCTGTCATGCTGCCTGTCAAGCTCTTTGGATGTTGTCTCTGCTTGACGAAATGGAGGTTGGCTGTGAATACAAAGTAGAGTTGCTTGTTGATAACAAGTGAGCAATCAACCTTGCAAAGAATCCAGTTGCACATGGAATGAGTAAGCATATAGAAAGGAAATATAACTTTCTAAGAGACCAAGTTAGCAAAGGCAAAATTTGTCTAAAGTATTGCAAAACAGATTTACAAATTGCAGACATTATGACTAAGTCTTCGAAGATAGATAGATTTAGAGAGTTAAGGAAGTTGTTAAGTGTAGTATGTTTGTAATAGATTTTGAATTAAGGAAGAGTATTGGATATTTTGGTAATTCAATAATCACCTATTATTAGAAAGGGTGGTTATGTTAGTTGTATATGAACTCTATAAATAGAAGTGATCTTTAGTGCATGTGTTAGTTAACACACTTGTACAAATTCTATTCCTCATCTTCATTCCCTTTCTTCATCAATCTCTGTTTTTCTCATTATTCAATGTTTCTGGTTTATAAAGTGAGTGAGTGACTTTGTGAATTTTCCAACAACCTTGAATATAACTCGACTTTTATTTATGAAAAATAAGCAAAAAATCATATCTCTTTTATGGTGAATTGTTTTTTTTTTTTTTTGGATTGCTTACTTTTCAACCAATTTCACTCACCATTTTACCCCTCAAATTTCAATATCACTTTGATCTTTTTTGGATTGATCTCTCATTGGTTTGCTTATTTTATCATTTGTGCACTATTTATTTTGTGAATTGTCTAATTCAAGTTTAGTAATTTTCATTTATTTATGTAATATGTTGTTTTTTATATATTGATATTGGTTTTTATATTGTGCTTCACTTTAATATTTTTCAGCCCGAGTGACGAGGTATTAAAGGTAATAAAATTTATATTATAAATATATATAATGAGATGTATTAAGAAATATATACAGTAAAATTGTATAAAAATAACCAAAATAATTATAAAATATACAAATACTTTTTATACAAATTTTCTAATTTAATTTATAAAAAATAATTTTTCTACCTTACTTATATAAAATATGTTAGCTTATATTCAATTTTTAACTAAAGTACTCAAATATACATATTAAAAGTCGATCAAAAAAAATATACATATTATAATATGAACAAATAATAATTTCAAAGTTTATAATCTAATCATTTATAAACTAAAACTAAAAACATAATTTAAACAAAATGTTCTTTAATAACAGATGTAATTTCTATTTAAAATAAATAATATTAAAGTGTTTGTATCCATGACAAAAATTTACTATATTTTACATCAACCTTCATATTAATCCTTACTCTATGTAGTATTTCTCTATCATTGTAAGTATTTTTAAGAAAAAATACAGGACGGGTTTTTGGAGTTAGCTCACCCTCGCGGGATCGCGATCCTTTGTCCCGACCATTGTAGCACGTGTGTCGCCCAGTGTAACGACCCGATTTTCCACCCTTGAAAATTTTTCTCATTTTAATTCAATTCCATTCAATCACTCATAACTCAATTTACCATTTTAATATCTTTACTTCAAAATCTTGTTTCCCCTCCTCACACTTAATCCATGAATCAATAACCACATGCATAATCATTTTACCTAGAACTTCTCATGAATCATTCCTGGAACTAATCTTATAACCTATTATATTATCATACAATTAATCTTGTAGAAAAACATAATTCATTCATATCATTCCCTATGAGTACTAAGACCTCAAAGGTTCTGATCCTCCAAAATAACATTACGCATGGTTACAAATATCCAAATAATGGTTAGTCATGATTACAATCATTTAAATCCGCAGGTAATCATTTAGAATACGAAAAACATAAATAGTGAATCCAAAGTCTAAAACTCCTAAAGCTCCCGACCTGGCATACTTCATTCGTCTATTTACCTGCAATGGGATTATCAATGACAAAAGTACAAAACACATAAAGGAGTAAGTCATTAATTCAATAAACGTCATTATAAGATAATCCACATTAGAACAATGAGTTAATAAACCATTTGTTTTATAAATTCATTTTGTGCTACATTACTTGAGCCAAAGTTTTGCTACATAGCTTGAGCCAAAGCGTTGCTACATAACTTGAGCCAAAGTATTGCTACATAACTTGAGCCAAAGTTTTGCTACATAGCTTGAGCCAAAGCATTGCTACATAACTTGAGCCAAAGTTTTGCTACATAACTTGAGCCAAAGTGTTGCTACATAACTTGAGCCAAAGTGTTGCTACATAGCTTGAGCCAAAGCATTGCTACATAACTTGAGCCAAAGTATTGCTTCATAACTTGAGCCAAAGCATTGCTACATAGCTTGAGCCAAAGCATTGCTACATAACTTGAGCCAAAGTATTGCTTCATAACTTGAGCCAAAGTGTTGCTACATAGCTTGAGCCAAAGCATTGCTACATAACTTGAGCCAAAGTATTGCTTCATAACTTGAGCCAAAGTGTTGCTACATAGCTTGAGCCAAAGCATTGCTACATAACTTGAGCCAAAGTATTGCTTCATAACTTGAGCCAAAGTTTTGCTACATAACTTGAGCCAAAGTGTTGCTACATAACTTGAGCCAAAGTGTTGCTACATAACTTGAGCCAAAGCATTGCTACATAACTTGAGCCAAAGTATTGCTTCATAACTTGAGCCAAAGTATTGCTACATAACTTGAGCCAAAGTTTTGCTAACCAATAATGGTCGGCTAAAATCATATTTTCTTTTCATTGATACAACATAAATCCGTAAACAGTAAATCCACGCATACCATTATCATAGACACACCCATATATGTTTACCATAACTAAGCGATTCATCACTTTATCGTACTCACACTCAGAAAATACACACATTATCCATTACCATATACCATTTAGAGACTCCTCCTTACCTTGATGAGTATTGGGGTTCGGTTCTTGGCAACTTCTCGAATTCTACCAACACCACCTCCAACCTTAGGATCTCTCTTCTCATCCCACCACATAACACAATGTTAGTTATTTATTCCAAATATTACATAAACAACTTATTTTGCATCATTTAATCATACAAAATATTCATCATCAATATTCAACCATCTAAAACATGCATAACATCTCATATTTCAATATTTGGGGTAAACTCATCTTCTACCTCTAACATTTTACTCATTCTCTCCTTTTACCACATTTCCACTTTTAGGGTTTTTGGGGTTTTCATGAATCAACCCACAACCTTTTCCATTCTTGAGATACTATCTCTAAACCAAGAGTTTACAAGATAAAAACAACATAAAACGAACCATAACTCTAACGGATGAGTTTCCATGATTTCTCATGTTATGAAAATAAATCCAACATACCCAAAACAAGTTAGAGAGGAAGAAGAAGAGTTAGGAACAAGAGGTTTACCTATTCGCAAGCTCTAAAATGAGTCCTAAGGCTCCTTGCTCTTGAAAAGCTCCCTTCTCTCTCTTATCTTCAAGTTCTAAACCTAAAATGTGTTTGGGGTTTCTATTTTTAAAGAGCAGTCGTCGGGTTCTCGCTCAAGCGAGCCCATTCTCGCTCAGGCGAGAATCTCACAGTAGCAATTTTCGCTTAACGCATAGATGTAATCGATTACATGGATTGTGTAATCGATTACATCGTGTAAAATGCACATATCTGATGCTCTTATCTGCATGTAATCGATTACATGTATTGTGTAATCGATTACATCATGTAAAATGCAGATATCTGATGCTTTTATCTACATGTAATCGATTACATGTATTGTGTAATCGATTACATGTATTGTGTAATCGATTACATCATGTAAAATGCACATATCTGATGCTTTTATCTGCATGTAATCGATTACATGTATTGTGTAATCGATTACATCATGTAAAATACACATATCTGATGCTTTTTATCTGCATGTAATCGATTACATGGACTGTGTAATCGATTACACTTCCCAAAATTGCCATTTCTCGCTCGGGTGATACAACTCTCGCTCAGGCGAGAATCCTCCAGTATAGCCCAAGACTTCACCCTCCCAGATGCACCTCTCTCGCTCAAGAGAGAATCTCCGGATCAAGCGAGGCTTCCAGAACTGATACTCTAATTTTTAAAGACTAAAATTCGAGGTGTTACACCCAGGGCATAAGGGGCATGATGACTTGACGTCATCCTCACCTTCCTCCGGCTTATCACCGGCAGTCTGCTCAGGGTTCCAAACTCAACGTTGGCAACTAAACACGAGGGTTGCGCTCGTTGCGGGACTTAACCCAACACCTTACGGCACGAGCTGACGACATGCACCCCTCTCTTTCTTTTGTTTCTGAATTATTAATAACAATAAAATAAAATGTTGATATGTGCAATTAACGAACTAAAAGGTTAGTTTTATAAAACATCTTCATTCTTCAATATGTTCTTGTAGTAATAATAAAGATATAGTGGATAAACATTTTTCATCTGCTAATCTAGTATCAATGAATTATATTAAGAAATTAATATATTGTAAAGCTTTTTATAGTGATAGTATAATATTTATGATTTTTGTGTATTATTATTTTTTGAAAATCGATATGTTCATCCAAAGACGATCCATGTATGATTTGCTTATAGTGCAAGATACGGTCACTACACAAACAATTTTCTTTTCTAATAATTATTTACCAAAAATTTCTTAGTAATTTATTAAAATGATTTTTCCATTAAAATCTTTTCTGTATTAAATTTCTTACTTGATGAATAACATCATTAGCATATATATCAAAAAAGTAAATTATATATTCTTCATAAATCATCTTATAAATTTTACTACGCCATTAAAAATAATATATGTTATAAATTTGTATTTTATTTATTAATGATTAATTTATGGTTAAGTAACATATATCATTTTCTTAGAGTGTTGGGAAATAAGTCTCACATTAAATAACTCATTGTCTATGGAATGATTTAAATATATGTTGTAGTACTCCTCTAATTGCCATTTGGTTTTGAGATGAATATCAAAACCAAAACCCAACTTTCTAGTTGTCATAAGCCAAAAGATGTCATTTAGTTATGGAGCAAAGATAACATTTCGCCTGATCCAAAAGACTTATATAGATGGGACATGTTGAAAAGTAAATCTCACATTACCTACTTTATTATCTCATGAATGATTTAAATATTTCTCTAGCTACACATCTCCTTTCGGATTATATTTTAATATAGGGTATAAGAGAATTCTTAGGAAGATAAAGGGTAGACAAAATCCTATGGAATCTCCGCACAACACGGCAGCAGTGCTGCAGAGGAGGATTATTGGCAGATCCGGTCGTGGGTCCCACCCAAGTTGCAATATTTTTTTCTAAAGCGGTGTTACGGTAGAGTGCCACGTATGACAACATTGGAGAAGTTGACGTGTTGAAAGATGAGAAAGGTGAAAGCGTGGGTCATATGTCAGAATGACGTGACGGGTTGGGATTTGTAATGATTCGCATTTATTATACAACTTCCTGTTATCAGCACCACATACCTGTCAATTTCCCCTTTCTTTATTCTTACTAACATCATCCAGACTCAGTATCATTATTTTGATTAAACAAAATATGGTATATCATTTAAACAAGTCCAAATAATATATGTGTCAACTTATTTTTATTATTTTTTGTTTATTATATCGTATAAGAGTGATTTTAATAATATCTCCTTATAATTATTGATGCATTTTGTAATGAACTAAAAATAATAAAAAATGTATTGAATAGTATACTATTTTTACTTGTCACTACAATATATCATATTTTGTTTAACTTTATTACACTTATCATCATTTTTAATGTAAAAAATCACATTTAAGTAGGGGTAAAAAATAGAGGTCTGATCAATGTAATTTTACTAAAAATTAAGGGATGCCACTATAATTTACTCTTATTCATATGACATTTGTCTAGTAGTATAAAGTCTTGTTAAATCTTCAGAAAGATTAAAATGTTAAGTGTTCGAATTATATAAGTGACACTTATTACGAGGAACAGTTATACACCTTGAAGTTGATACACTTAATAATAATAAAAATAAGTCTCAAAACTTATTTTATAATTGTTCATATTCTTTACCAAATTAATCACTTTTTCACATTTTTCAACTCTAAGTGCAACTCACTACTTACCCTTAATTGGAACCTACCATGTAGCCCACGTTTGTAAAACTTCACATTTACATGTTTTTTATTTGAGAAGTGTTGTTGAAAGTGAACATTCCACACGCTTGCACAAACGAGTATTGGTAAATGTATATGTTGAAGTTTTAATTTAAATATCACTTTTTATAAATATATAGAAAATAGTTCCCATTTTCATTGTTGGTTAATTTATAGAAATAAAAATTGTGCTCCAGTTATATAACGATTCTATGGACAAAAATATATCATGTCTAGCGACACTAAATTTATGGACAATCCATTTTTTATTATGGACCACTACTAGAGATGCTCCAATAATTTGGAACACAGCATATTTTAATAGTCTGAAAGTTGATTTATATAATTATAATATTGAACAATTATTTATCTGATCATCTAGATACCAAAATGTATAGATTTAATGGTATAATATTTCACTAAATTTTCATATAGACTAAAATTCGGAGCAACATTTGTTAGTAAAGTTAATATTGCATATCCAAAAAAATATATTAGTTCCTTACTTAGGATGATGTTATATTCTTGATGGAAAAAATATCATTATTCAGATGACATATTGATACAATATTGAATAAATTGTGTTGGGATGCTTGAAATATGTTATTGTATTAGTCCCACATTGTCTAGTATTGAAATAGAGTAGAATAACCAATGTTATATATTGGACTGAAGTCCCTTGTTATTATGAGCACCAAATAAAAACACATCATAGGCACTTGTGCCCGTGAGTGTGCTAGAGCTTGTAATATTTATTATCTAATAATATCTTGGTCGTTGTTGAACGCTCCTAGGGATTTAGGCACAATTGGCCGAACCTCGTTACCAAATTCTTTTGTTTCTTCTCTTCTATTTATTCTATGCACTTTATTTGATTGCTTGTGGTCAATGCTGCGCAATAATCGCTTACGTTGTACCAACAATTGGTATCAGAGCCAATTGGTAGATGGTTCTTAACCCAATTTCTAGATAATGACAAAAGAGGGCGAAGGCATGTTGGTTTGAAAATGTGCGTCAAATGTAATATGCAAGGATAAATGAGATGAGTTGAATGAGAAGAAAACATTATGAAACTATGGTGGGGGCGATATATGTGTTGATCCAGAATCCTATGAGTCAATGTACTGGATTAGGATCAAGGTGGAGATGGCGACTCAAGTGTTCAGTTAGGCTCTGAGACAGGTGCTGAAGATATCTCTCTCGATGTTGGAGAGGATGATTGTAACACCCTAACTTTAAGTATTTAAAATTATAGTATCAGTCCTGGGATACTCGCTTGAGCGAGGTATTCTCGCCTGGGCGAGAAAGGCTCACCTGGGAGGGTGAAATCCTGGGCTATACTGGAGGATTCTCGCCTGAGCGAGAGTTGGCTCGCTTGAGCGAGAAAGGCTCAATTGGAAGGGTGAAATCCTGGGCTATACTGGAGGATTCTCGCCTGAGCCAGGGTAGGCTCGCCTAGGCGAGAAAAGTGATGTTTTGGACCTGTCGAGACTGTAAGATTCTCGCTTGAGCGAGAGGATCCTCGCTTGAGCGAGAGGGTCAGATCTGAGTTTTTAAAATAGGCAGGATTTTCTCGCTTGAGCGAGAAAGGGCTCGCTTAAGCGAGGACCCGACACTGTTACATTAAATAGGGAACCCCAAACACATTTATGAGGGTTAACCTAGAGAGAAGTGAGAGAAGAAAGCTTTTTCAAGAGCAAGAAGGCTTGTGAGTCATTTAGAAGCTTGAGAAGAGGTAAAGCTCTTGATTCTAACTCTCTTATTCCCTTTGAAACTTATTTTGGGTATGTTGGATCTCTTCTCAAAGTATGAGAAACCATGGAAACTCACCATTTTGAGTTATGGCTCGTTTTATGTGGTTTTTCTCTTGTAAACTCTTGGTTTAGAGTTAGTATTTCGAAAATGGAAAGAGTTTGTGGGTTGGTTCATGAAAACCCCAAAACCCTAAAGTGAAAATGGGGTTAATATGGAAAATGAGTAAAATGTTAGAGGTAGAAGATGAGTTTACTTTCTAATGATGAAATATGAGATGATTATGTATGTTTTGGATAGTTGTAAACTTATGATGAAAGTAGTTTAGCAACATTGAAAATATGATGAATATCTTGTATAGTTAAATGATGCAATATAAATTGTTTATGTGATATTTGGAATAAATGACTAACATTGTGTTGTATGGTGGAAATGAGGAAAGATCCTAAAGTTGGAGGCGGTGTTGGTGGAACTTGAGAAGTTGCCAAGAACCAAACCCAACACTCACCGAGGTAAGGATAAGTCTTTAACTTATGCACTGTGATAGAAAATGCGTGGGTTTTCTGATGTGAATAATGAAATGAATCGTAAATCACTTAGTCGTTACAAGCATATATGGGTATGTTGTAATGATGAGGAGTGGATTTACTGTTTTTGTATTGGTGGAGTGCCAATGGAAATAAAACTCGAAAAATATATTGGTGGAGTGTCAATGGAAATAAAACTCGTTTTTAGCCGACCATGATTGGTTAGCGACATTGGCTCAAGTAATGTAGCAAGTTTTGGCTCAAGCAATGTAGCAAACTTTGGCTCAAGTAATGTAGCAAGCTTTGGCTCAAGCAATGTAACAAGCTTTGGCTCAAGCAATGTAGCAAACTTTGACTCAAGTTATGTAGCATGGTTTTCAAAAGTATGAACGATGAAAATGGTTTTAAGTAAATTTGATTTTAAACTGTTTATTTAATCTTATTAAATGTGGATTAACCTACATTAATATTTGTTGAGTTAACGACTTACTCCTTGTGTTTCTTTGGTGTATTGTCAATGTTAATTCCATTGCAGGTAGGTGGAATGAGTATGGGTGTTTTTGATTAGGAGCTTAGAGACTTTTATTTTGATGTCTCTTATCCATTTTTGTAACCTCATTTGTTGTACTTGAACTAACTATTTGTAACTATGAACATGATTGTTGTACATGACATTAATCCTGAAAGCTAGTAACTCGGGATATATGTAGCTATGGTGTTTTGGAAACCCATAGTTAATTGTATGCGGTAGTTACTAAGTTACATTAATACAAATTATGTTTTTCTGTCATCTGATTTGGTATATCACTTTTGGTTTATAGATTGGGTGGGATGAGGGAAGTGAGATCTTTTAAATAAGTTCATTCAATTGGTAATTATAATTTATAGTTAAA